GAGATGAGAGAGAGAGAGAGAGAGAGAGTGGGACCCTTTAATTCAATAATAAATTTTTTTCTTTTTTTTAAATAGAGAAAACCTCATAAATGGTCCCTGTGTATTGAAATGACGAAAATGCCCCTCACTTAACGGTAGAAATCTGACAAAGTTAGGCGGAAGGACCATTTGTTAAAAGTTTTGAAACCACAGGGACCATCTGTGAGGTTTTTTGAACTTAGGGACTAAACTTGATATTTTCGGAAACCACAGGGATCATTTTTGAAGTTTTGTCTAGTTTTTTCAATATTTTGGATAGAAAAAACATGATTGTTTTTATAAATTTTTGCTGTTTTTTTTTTCTTTCTAAAATTCATTACCTGCGGATTACCTACAGAAAATTCGTAGGTAATGTGAGTCGTATGAAATTTGTAGGTAATAAAGTCAATGTTAGTTAAAGTGGGCTTCGTCGATAATCTGTAGGAAATCCGTAGCTATTCGGTAGGAAAGTAGTCAACTTTAGTCAAACTTGACTCTCGGGAATAATCCGTAGGTATTCCGTAACTATTGCTTTACGTAGCTATTTCGTAGTTATTTTACCTAGGGAAAAAAACATAGGTATTATGTAGCTAGTCCGTAGGTATAAATTTCTCACGAGACCATTTTGTAGTAATTCCGTAGATATTGTCTTATACATACAGAATACCTACGGATTGTGCCGTAATTCTTAATAACTATTCATCAAGATATATCAAACTCAAACGAAAAGTAAACAGTGGAAAAAATATATACCATATCATTATTATGCTTTAGCTCCATGGTAGCTGCCAACCATTGCAAGCGAAAGGAAACAAAAATGCAACTGTTGGAGCATCTCCAAAGCATCACCAAAGAATAATAGCTTCCACTTCTTATTTCCTCAAAATCTCATATTATATTTCTAGAGGAAAACTCTTGAATACCACATGAAATACTCGCCAAAAGAGATGAGAGAGAGAGAGAGAGAGAGAGAGTGGGACCCTTTAATTCAATAATAAATTTTTTTCTTTTTTTTTAAATAGAGAAAACCTCATAAATGGTCCCTGTGTATTGAAATGACGAAAATGCCCCTCACTTAACGGTAGAAATCTGACAAAGTTAGGCGGAAGGACCATTTGTTAAAAGTTTTGAAACCACAGGGACCATCTGTGAGGTTTTTTGAACTTAGGGACTAAACTTGATATTTTCGGAAACCACAGGGATCATTTTTGAAGTTTTGTCTAGTTTTTTCAATATTTTGGATAGAAAAAACATGATTGTTTTTATAAATTTTTGCTGTTTTTTTTTTCTTTCTAAAATTCATTACCTGCGGATTACCTACAGAAAATTCGTAGGTAATGTGAGTCGTATGAAATTTGTAGGTAATAAAGTCAATGTTAGTTAAAGTGGGCTTCGTCGATAATCTGTAGGAAATCCGTAGCTATTCGGTAGGAAAGTAGTCAACTTTAGTCAAACTTGACTCTCGGGAATAATCCGTAGGTATTCCGTAACTATTGCTTTACGTAGCTATTTCGTAGTTATTTTACCTAGGGAAAAAAACATAGGTATTATGTAGCTAGTCCGTAGGTATAAATTTCTCACGAGACCATTTTGTAGTAATTCCGTAGATATTGTCTTATACATACAGAATACCTACGGATTGTGCCGTAATTCTTAATAACTATTCATCAAGATATATCAAACTCAAACGAAAAGTAAACAGTGGAAAAAATATATACCATATCATTATTATGCTTTAGCTCCATGGTAGCTGCCAACCATTGCAAGCGAAAGGAAACAAAAATGCAACTGTTGGAGCATCTCCAAAGCATCACCAAAGAATAATAGCTTCCACTTCTTATTTCCTCAAAATCTCATATTATATTTCTAGAGGAAAACTCTTGAATACCACATGAAATACTCGCCAAAAGAGATGAGAGAGAGAGAGAGAGAGAGAGAGAGAGTGGGACCCTTTAATTCAATAATAAATTTTTTTCTTTTTTTTTAAATAGAGAAAACCTCATAAATGGTCCCTGTGTATTGAAATGACGAAAATGCCCCTCACTTAACGGTAGAAATCTGACAAAGTTAGGCGGAAGGACCATTTGTTAAAAGTTTTGAAACCACAGGGACCATCTGTGAGGTTTTTTGAACTTAGGGACTAAACTTGATATTTTCGGAAACCACAGGGATCATTTTTGAAGTTTTGTCTAGTTTTTTCAATATTTTGGATAGAAAAAACATGATTGTTTTTATAAATTTTTGCTGTTTTTTTTTTCTTTCTAAAATTCATTACCTGCGGATTACCTACAGAAAATTCGTAGGTAATGTGAGTCGTATGAAATTTGTAGGTAATAAAGTCAATGTTAGTTAAAGTGGGCTTCGTCGATAATCTGTAGGAAATCCGTAGCTATTCGGTAGGAAAGTAGTCAACTTTAGTCAAACTTGACTCTCGGGAATAATCCGTAGGTATTCCGTAACGATTGCTTTACGTAGCTATTTCGTAGTTATTTTACCTAGGGAAAAAAACATAGGTATTATGTAGCTAGTCCGTAGGTATAAATTTCTCACGAGACCATTTTGTAGTAATTCCGTAGATATTGTCTTATACATACAGAATACCTACGGATTGTGCCGTAATTCTTAATAACTATTCATCAAGATATATCAAACTCAAACGAAAAGTAAACAGTGGAAAAAATATATACCATATCATTATTATGCTTTAGCTCCATGGTAGCTGCCAACCATTGCAAGCGAAAGGAAACAAAAATGCAACTGTTGGAGCATCTCCAAAGCATCAACAAAGAATAATAGCTTCCACTTCTTATTTCCTCAAAATCTCATATTATATTTCTAGAGGAAAACTCTTGAATACCACATGAAATACTCGCCAAAAGAGATGAGAGAGAGAGAGAGAGAGAGAGAGAGAGAGAGAGAGAGTGGGACCCTTTAATTCAATAATAAATTTTTTTCTTTTTTTTAAATAGAGAAAACCTCATAAATGGTCCCTGTGTATTGAAATGACGAAAATGCCCCTCACTTAACGGTAGAAATCTGACAAAGTTAGGCGGAAGGACCATTTGTTAAAAGTTTTGAAACCACAGGGACCATCTGTGAGGTTTTTTGAACTTAGGGACTAAACTTGATATTTTCGGAAACCACAGGGATCATTTTTGAAGTTTTGTCTAGTTTTTTCAATATTTTGGATAGAAAAAACATGATTGTTTTTATAAATTTTTGCTGTTTTTTTTTTCTTTCTAAAATTCATTACCTGCGGATTACCTACAGAAAATTCGTAGGTAATGTGAGTCGTATGAAATTTGTAGGTAATAAAGTCAATGTTAGTTAAAGTGGGCTTCGTCGATAATCTGTAGGAAATCCGTAGCTATTCGGTAGGAAAGTAGTCAACTTTAGTCAAACTTGACTCTCGGGAATAATCCGTAGGTATTCCGTAACTATTGCTTTACGTAGCTATTTCGTAGTTATTTTACCTAGGGAAAAAAACATAGGTATTATGTAGCTAGTCCGTAGGTATAAATTTCTCACGAGACCATTTTGTAGTAATTCCGTAGATATTGTCTTATACATACAGAATACCTACGGATTGTGCCGTAATTCTTAATAACTATTCATCAAGATATATCAAACTCAAACGAAAAGTAAACAGTGGAAAAAATATATACCATATCATTATTATGCTTTAGCTCCATGGTAGCTGCCAACCATTGCAAGCGAAAGGAAACAAAAATGCAACTGTTGGAGCATCTCCAAAGCATCACCAAAGAATAATAGCTTCCACTTCTTATTTCCTCAAAATCTCATATTATATTTCTAGAGGAAAACTCTTGAATACCACATGAAATACTCGCCAAAAGAGATGAGAGAGAGAGAGAGAGAGAGTGGGACCCTTTAATTCAATAATAAATTTTTTTCTTTTTTTTAAATAGAGAAAACCTCATAAATGGTCCCTGTGTATTGAAATGACGAAAATGCCCCTCACTTAACGGTAGAAATCTGACAAAGTTAGGCGGAAGGACCATTTGTTAAAAGTTTTGAAACCACAGGGACCATCTGTGAGGTTTTTTGAACTTAGGGACTAAACTTGATATTTTCGGAAACCACAGGGATCATTTTTGAAGTTTTGTCTAGTTTTTTCAATATTTTGGATAGAAAAAACATGATTGTTTTTATAAATTTTTGCTGTTTTTTTTTTCTTTCTAAAATTCATTACCTGCGGATTACCTACAGAAAATTCGTAGGTAATGTGAGTCGTATGAAATTTGTAGGTAATAAAGTCAATGTTAGTTAAAGTGGGCTTCGTCGATAATCTGTAGGAAATCCGTAGCTATTCGGTAGGAAAGTAGTCAACTTTAGTCAAACTTGACTCTCGGGAATAATCCGTAGGTATTCCGTAACTATTGCTTTACGTAGCTATTTCGTAGTTATTTTACCTAGGGAAAAAAACATAGATATTATGTAGCTAGTCCGTAGGTATAAATTTCTCACGAGACCATTTTGTAGTAATTCCGTAGATATTGTCTTATACATTCAGAATACCTACGGATTGTGCCGTAATTCTTAATAACTATTCATCAAGATATATCAAACTCAAACGAAAAGTAAACAGTGGAAAAAATATATACCATATCATTATTATGCTTTAGCTCCATGGTAGCTGCCAACCATTGCAAGCGAAAGGAAACAAAAATGCAACTGTTGGAGCATCTCCAAAACATCACCAAAGAATAATAGCTTCCACTTCTTATTTCCTCAAAATCTCATATTATATTTCTAGAGGAAAACTCTTGAATACCACATGAAATACTCGCCAAAAGAGATCTCACACATTTCCTACAATGTTGAATGAATGTACTGGTAAGTGTAAATCATCGGAAGACGTCACCGGAAAAGTACCGTATACACAAACTCATATCTGATTTGAAATCGCTTGAGATTGTTGATAGCCTAAACGAAAATCTTATCGGAAAACTCTGAAGGTCTCAATCTCTAATCTTCGGAAGATGGAGATCTGGTGGTTTCAGTGAAGATCGAAGAAAAAACGGATGAAGATTTGGTGTTAGGCCGCACCGGAGGTGGTGGTTCATGTCAATGCAAAAACGACTTCTGTTGGTCAACGACAAACATGAGTGGTAGCATAACACATCAGCGAGAGTGACAACGATGGTGATGTTGTCGCCGGTGTCGGCTACAACGACAGTGGACAAATCCAAAAGAAAAAAACAAACACATTTTTATATGCTCTTCCAAAACGTGACTCATACACCCAAAAAAAAATCTTTTTATTTTTAGAGAAACAAGATGACTAGTTCATTTATCTCATCACATATATTAATGGATTATAAATTATTAATCGATAACTTTATCCGTTCTTATAACTTCGTCGCCTGATCAGCCACAAGTTCACACAACCACGTCCACCGAGGAAATGTCTAAATGAGTGAAATCAACCTCTCCTGAACTTTTAACCTTCATCACTTTACTTGGCTCGAAGTCTCAACGTGAAAGCTTTCAGCGCCAAAAGAACAGATTTTAGTCTCTCTTTAGCCTCAGTATCTATTAGATTACCTTCATCGTCGAACTTAGGAGGACCTTCAAACGCCTTGAGGAAAAACTCTGGCTTATTAATGAAATGAAGATCAAGGAAAACACCATTTTGCCGGAGACTATACTGAGCCAGCCCTCCGCCAAACCCACCTCCGGCACTAACAATAGCAGCAGCCTTATCGGCAAACACGTTCGGTGGCCTAGATGCCCAATCGATTGCGTTCTTCAAAGGTGCTGTAACCGTGTAATTGTACTCTGGAGAAGCAAAGAGGAAACATTCAGATTGAAGAATCTTCTGACGAAATGCTTCGACCTCCGGTGGAAATTTGTCGTCGACTTCGAGATCTGTGTTGAGCATCGGTAACAGCGATATGTCGACGTTTACGATCGACATCCCGTCGATCGCTTGGGTGGCTAATTCAATGGCGGCGCGGATGAGGCCATGATGGAAGGAAGCTTTGCGAGTGGAACCACAGATGGCAGCAACGTTGATGATCGGTTTTGGTGCTAACGTGGAGTCCATTGAAATGAATGGAATTATTGAGACACCCTGCTGTTCTTTTAAGGTTGAAATGGAAAAGGACGCCACTGGTGAGATAATACTCACTTTTTAGGCATCGGAACAAGTGAATTTACCGTACTACCCTTCTAATAGAATCAAAACAATATTTTTTTGGAGGGAAGGTTAAAAATGTCCAACAAATTGCTCACTTTATCCACTTTTTGCCACTCTAAATTATCTTTATACACTTTTAAGTAAATAAATTTTTTAAATCCTTTAGTTTTATTCATTCACTTATTTTGTCCATATTTAAATAAAGAATTTTCAAAAATTGTTTTATCTTAGTCCCTTTAACCAGCCATTGCTTGAGTTTGGGTTGGCAGGTTACGGGTTAATGGGTCAGAAAACATAAACTCAATCCAATCCATACAATATATGGGTTGATAGGTTGGTGGGTCATGGATCGGTGGGTTGGAAACCTCAACCCAACCCAACTCATATAACCCGTTTAAGTATATGGATTCGTGGGTTCACAAGTTAATTGATCAAACCCAACCCATATAACTTGTTTAATAAATAAGCAACACATTTTAAAAAATAAGGTTTTTTCAACATAAATTCTTAAAATGAGTAAAGTAATTAACATAAAAAAAAGGTTTTCAACATAAATTCATAAAGTCAATAACATTCAAATAAAAATGTAAAATGAAAACATTCATAGAAAGTGGATGTTTTATTCGTTTGTGACTCATGAAAATAATGACATGTATTTTTTCTTTTTCTGAATAACGAACCGCAAATGCAGATTAGTCACATACGAATATGAAAGGAATATAATGATACGAAATATTACGAATACGAATGGAAATCAAATTTGATTAATAATTATATATATATATATATATATATATATATATATATATATATATATATATTTATTTATTTATTTATTTATTTATTTATTTACAGATTGGCGGGTTGACCCGCAAACCCAAATAGATAGCTCAACTCAACCCATAAAATAAACGAGTTTGTGGGTTGATGGGTTGACTGGTTAGAAGGTCAAAAATCTCAATCAAACCCGTCTATTTTTGGGTTGGATCAGTATCGGATTACTGATTGGATCAAGAGTTGCCAACCCTACTTTTACTGGCCTACATAACTACAATAATGTTTTTGGAAGGTTCGTTATCTAAAATTGACAAAAATAAGTTGAGTAAAAACTATATGATTTTGAAAAGTTAATTAGTTAAAAGTTGACAAAAATAAGTTAAATGACAAAGTGGACAAATACAAAAGGTCTTTGGTCTTTGTAACATTTTCCTTATTTTTTTAGTGGAATGTGTAGTTTGTATTTATCATTTATATTTAAAAATGTTGTTTGGATCACAATATAAGAAAGAGCGTACAATTAAATAAATGAATGAATTTCTCAAAAAACATGAACTTGTTGCAAGCTACTTAATAGTTTCTTTAAAAGACCATTCCATTCTTGCATTTTCACCGTGAACACGTGAACAACTACGTGAATCAAAACTTTAATCCTTTAATAAACTAATACAATAACAACTAAACTAAAAAAGAATCAAATTCATGTAAATCAACAATAAGTCGGCCACCAAGGAAGCTCTTTTCCACTTCATGCGTTAATTCTTGTCACATAAATTTTTATTGTTTTAAAAACATATTTTTTGAAAGGGGTTGGCTAAAAGGACACCTCATTTTACTATTTAGATACTATATATAGTTTTTAAGGTATTTTTATTGGTTAAAATTACATTGTTTTTTGAAAAAAAAAATGATTAAAAATAGTCACCTATAGATTGACTTTTGATAAAGATGTCTATAAGGTGTCTAAAAGGTGTCTTAATAGCAACACCATCTTGGAAAAATAGCTTTTTATAACCAACTTGATCAATGTGTGGTGGGACACTATATTGTTGTAAAATAACAAGTGATGTACTCAATGAATCGATACGTATAATAGGCAGCCAAACCTAATAATAAATTAAAACTAAAACCAAAAACAAAACATGAAGAGGCTAATAAGATGACTTTAATGTGCAATTTTGACTTGTCACACCCCCAAACCGAAATTGCGGAAACGTTCAGGGGGTGGAGGACGATATGTGTAGTATCACAATAATTGCATTATAGTAATCAAAGTAAACACAACCATTACATTAAGATATGAATATTTACATCTGTTTGATTCATTGTATGTATACATTTAAGGTAGCAAAAATATAAAGACGAGACTCTGAATGTTCCATCGTCTGAAAGCCGGTGATAGTACCTGCCTATTGATTTCCTGAGAATACAAGCAATTTTGAAAGAGTATCAGCATAAAGATTGTGAGTTCATAAGAATGTTTTTATAATGAAAATCAATCGTTGAATTCTATAAAATATATGCATGTTTCCCAAGAAAATCCAATATTTTCTAACATTTATGTTCGTTATTGTAATTTGTTCGAAAAACTTGACTAACACTTGTACTGTTTGAAAACCTTGGCTACCACCAGTATGTATAGTATGTTCCATTTGAAAACCTTGGCAACCATCAGTATGTATAGTATGTTCCGTTTGAAAACTCTGGCTACCACCAATTAGTATGTCGTGTTTGAAAACCCTGACTACCACCAGTATGTATAGTAGTTTTATTATTTAAAATAAAAGTGTGTATTTTATCCCTAGAATCCTCCAGTGTAATGTATAGTACTTCTATTAATTAAAATAAAACTAATGAATAATGAAATCCCATAAACAAATGTTAGTTTATACTATTGTGAGTTCGTATAACCATGCTTGATATGACTGATGACCTCATCGACGTTCTTCAGGCGTCATATGGTATGATATTTGTCACCCAAGGCATGCCTGCCTAACTGTAGCTAACAGTTCAGGTGTGAGATTGTTAGTCCCGAATAGATCTATTCACAAATCTCACGCTCTCCCTCAAGGAGACTCTGGTTACACTAGATGTTGAGGAATTTACCAGTATCCCGAAGGATATAAAATGAAGAGTTGTCTCATAATTATGTATTAACTAGTTTACGTGTAGTTCTGTATCGTTTTCTTGTAGTTGAATCCGTTTGTATACTTGGTAGAGTATAGGGATGTCAACGGGACCAAACGGGAGCTAAAATAGCCACCCCCGCTCCCACCCCCACCCCCGAAATCAGTTGGTGCCCCCGCTCCCGGTCCTACTTCGGCTCCCCCGCTTCCATAGCCCCCGGTCCCGCCCCCGGTTACCTCCATCGCTTCCGGTCCCGCCCCCGTTTCCCCGGTTTATAGGCTTAAAATTCAATTTTTTTTGCTAAACAACTACTTTGGTTTAGGCTAAAAAGACTATTTTTAACAACTTTTAAAAGTTTAAAACCCAATCTTTTAGAAACTAAAAAATTAAAAATCGAACATTACTAAATGACAATTCTAACAATCTTATAAATATAAAATACATCAAATCCAATATTACAAATATAAAATACTTACATGTCCAAAATTATATGATCAATTCATTACCTCTTAAATTTCCTCTAATTGGAATCGGGAAAGTAAAACCTAACCTAAACCTAAAATTAGAAAATATGTTTTGTATATGTATTTTATGTTAAATATATATTTTTTACATAAATATACAGTCGGGCCCCCCACGGGAGTATGGGACGGAAATACCAACTCCGGACCACGGTCCCGAAAATAAACGGGGATTAATTTTGCCCCCGTCCCGCTACCGCTCCCGTTTTTTTTTTTTTTCAAAAATTTAGTCTCGTACGGGATGGGGGTCTCACGAGAGCGGGGTCCCACGGGGGTTTTTGACATCCCTAGTAGAGTATTAATAATTATATATAAATAAGTATTTAGTGTGATACTCTTGTTATCCGAAAGTAGTAATGTATGTCATAAACTAAACATGTCATAGTTTATATGTTTACCCATGTATATAATCGGGATCGATAAAAACTGTATGATAAATTCCCCAAACTATACCTATTATAGTTTGTCTGAAATGTTATGTACTTTGTTTGTGTATTGTTCTGAAAATTAAGCAGATTGTGTTTTCACGTTGAAAGTGTCCCTTATGCTCTGCATAATACAAAAGGGATAAAATATCTAAATATTTTATAAAAATGTGGAAATCGTTAACTGTACCAATTTCATAAGTATTAACTTGTTGAAATCCTTTTGTTTTGGTTCACAAAATCATTTGTGTTTGGTTTGTATTCCCCCTGAAAACATTAAAAAAAAATCATAAAAGCATAGGGGTATGAACTCACTATTAGTTGTGTGCAAGCGTCGAATCAACAAACTGGAAATGAAGACCCTCGAGTTGTTGTATGAGGCACTTAATGGAATCCTAATAACAATTAAACACACAAACATATCTAAATTAACGATTACGTTAGATAAAGTGTTAGGAAAACACTTGTATTCGGTTAAGGAATGTTACCGGGACTTGATTGAATCGGGGAAAATGGGTTTTCAGTCTAATGCACTACTTAGGAAGAGTTTACGACCGTGAAGGGGCGTTTACGGCTATGAATTGTGTACGGTCGTGAACTATTGCTTGAAGGGTTTATGGCCTTGAACTGTTTCTTGCAGGGTTTACAGCCGTAAACTGTTTACGGTCAATGAAGATTTACAAATTTGAAGGGTGTACGACCATAAACTCAAGAACACTGATGTTGGATTAGGTGAAAACGCGTTTTAGGTATTCAAAAACAACCTCAAAATGTAACATCCGGATTTTACCAGGTATTTTGTAAAGTTAATTTTGTTGAATTATGAAGGGGACTCGGCGAGTTAGAGCTCAGACTCGCCGAGTAGGGACGCGGAATTGGACAATGGATCGCGCCTGGACTCGGCGAGTCCAGGATATGGACTCGGCGAGTCTGCGCTGTGTAAAAGAAACCCTAAAATCCCAGGCTTGAGGCCTATTTAAAGGGCCTTATGGCCGTCATCTGTGCTCACCCAACCCTTAGAGAGAGACCCTTGTGTTCTTGAGTGATTGTGGAGAGA